ACTCAGTGTTTTTCTCTATACTTAATCTAACCTTTTCTGACCTCTTGCAGATAACATCTATTCATGATTAATGTAACAAAACCACAGTTTACCACTTAAATGCTATGGACCACTTAATAGCTTTACCACGGGAACGATATTTTAATGAGAACTCCCACGTTGGATATGCCTTTTTTTTTTTTTGTTGTTGCTGTATCTACAGCTAAATCTATGATTGTCAGCTTTGCAATTTTACAGCAGTGTAACAAGTCTTAAAGTGTTTTCATTGTTCCTACTTCAGAGAGATGCTTTTCTCCATGTTGGTATTCAGTGAGGAACACAGCCCTAATAGTTTTTTCACTAGACTTCTGGCTCCACAGTAAGTTCGATACCGCATCGTGTCTTTTTACACAGCGTCGTTCCCGGTTTGTATGCTTAAGATTTGGGTTTCTTGAAAGTTGGGATCTATCAATAAGGAGCCTAAAATCGACTTCAGTTGGGATTTTCCCACCTTTTACAACCGTTTCGGTTTTAAGTTTTCTTTAACAATGCTGTTTTCCTGAGTACCTCCTCAACTGCTGTACAGTGTCTTCTATTTGTGTGTAGGTTGAAAATACAGTCTAAGGCCATTGCATGAAGCATATTGAAAGTAGCTTCAGGAACCCTTTGTCTTGGGAGGAAAGCTTGCTATAAAACCTCTTCTTTCCTTATCTGTCTAGCCTAACTCACAAATAATTTAAGGATGTGAAAATGTAAGGCATAGCCAAGACTAAGCAATGTTCAGGGTTGGTTTTTTGTTTTCCTTTAAACATAGGCTAGTCACCAGTTTTTGGACGAAACATAATGACAGTCTACTAAAATTGAAAGTACAACATTGTTCTGAATTCTGCCTACAGTTTTGTCTTTTCTGTGGGTAGGCAGCTGATAGTTTGAGAAAATTACATAGTGCATCCAGACCTAATGCTCCCCATCTGTGCCATCAGCACTGTTAACAACTCCAAATTCACCCGAGAGGTTTTGTTACGGGTGTAGTTGCTAGTCGAGTTCTCAGAAATTGAGATTTATACATAAACTTTTTAAAGAAAGAGTTGTTCAACAATAACGAGTGGAATTAGCTGAGGGCAGTTCATGATACTTTCCAATCTGCAAATTTACAGGGAATGAAATGGGATTGGGGCTTGTGTCTTAATTTTATATGGATCGCATGGAGTACACTGCTGTCTTTTGGGATTTTTCTCTGAAACATGCTTCCTTATTTTCAGCATATGCCACAATTTAACCATGTAACTGTTACCCAGTTGGGTGTATGCTTTACTTCGTTAGTAGCTGGCTTTACAAGAGTCAACAGAACTCGCTCTGCTGCTGAAGGAGGGCAGCAGCAAGTTTAACCTCCCCCCCTTCCTTTTTTTTTTTACTTATCTCATAGGACTGTAGAAACTTGTGTTGCAAGGCCCTAAAACAGAAATACCTGGGTTTCTGGTTTTATCAGTTATGGGCCTGCCTGTTAATCAATGAGAATTTGTGCACATGGGCCATGAAGTAGACTTAGGGACCTGGTCCTGCAAAGGCTACATGCATAATGTTAAAACGCTTATGTCATTTGAATTAAAAGATGACAATCGTGCTGACTCAAAGGTGTCCATTCCCCCCTGCCCCCAGGAACTAGGAGTAAAGTTGCCAGTTCATCATATGCGTCTCTTACCTGTTGCATGTTTTGGTTGAAGTTCATGAACTAGCAATACGCTTCACACTGATGCTTAACCAATAGCAAGAAATTTCAGGGCCACATTAATGAGTTTCCACTATGAGTTTACCCTATCAAACTGACATATAAAAATGCACACATTTAGTTAAATCCTTTAGAATGCAGAGCAAATTGGCTGATTTTGCTATCCATAATTCAGTGTATTATGCACTACGAGGCAGTGCTCCCTTGATGTTACCAGTTACTGTAAACACAAGTGCAAACAACATGATTTACATGCTAGTGGCATCATTTATATCTTCAAAAGGTATAATTTGGCATTTAAACTTGTATTGAATGTATGTGTAGTTTTTGTTTGGTGCAAGTGCATTTTTTTAACATACCTGACCAAAGTTGCTACGTTGTCATCCTGCCATAACCAATGAGATTTTTTTTTTAATACCAGTTTTATGGAGTTTGTTTATGAAAGATAGCAACAAATACTTTTTCTATCTAGTTGCTTAGTAATTATTTTAATATCTTACAATCTAGTATGCCTTTTAACATTCCTTTCTTATCATTCATTAAATGCTTTTTAGACCTTTTGCAGACCTTTTCAAGTTCTGAAATAGATAAGCTGTTGTGAATAAGCATGTAAGTAAAATACCTTCTTTTTTAATAGCACAAATAAATAACAAAAAAAACTTCATTCAAAGCCACTGTCAGTGTAACCTCATTATCACAAGTACAGATAAACATTAATTTGGTTCAATTTAATTTACTTTAAAGATCTGTGGAAAATCTAAAAAAATATTTAAATCCATAACATTGAAGATACTTTAAAAATACCAGTTTTAAAAAGCTGAAAAGAAAAACTTTAGTACTGCTTCTTGAGGCATCCCAATGGAGGGAAAAGGAAAGGTACACAAGTAAATGTATCACAGACTAGGAAACGAGCTCATTCACCATTGTGTATTTTCATGGCAGAAAGTTGAGAAGGATTCAGTTGCAGAAGGTGAAGGTAAGACAATATTGAATCAGATACGAATTATTTTTCGGAATCTATTTGCAGATTGATCATATGAGCTGTAAGATTAATTGGTACATTATGTTTGCTTGGAGCTATGATGGTGAAAGGAGTGAGGAAGAATGCCATAGCTTCCTGGGCCTCTCTCCTCAAAGGAAAACTAGGAAAAGCAGACTTGGGAACAAATGCAAAGAATAGAGTATCTTAGGAATACATAAATCCACAGTGAACTGAAGATGTAGATGAACTTGAGCTACAATTTTTCTTTCAGTGCTAAAAAGAGTAATAAATTAAGGTAACTTTGTGTAAGATGAATCAAGACTAAAACACAATTTTCTTCCGCGTGTAATTGATCTAAAGCTTGCTTTTTTTTTCCACTGATGTTCTCCATCACCAGAAACTAAATTCCTAGTTCTACATAGGCCTATATAACAACACTTAAACTGATGGCCTAGTTCCTTTAACTAAAACTAAACATTTCCTTATTCAGAAGCCTCAGCTGCTAGACTTTCTAACATCACAGTTGGCTGGGTTTGCCAGCCCCTTGAATGTGCAGTCTTCCTCCTCGAATGTAGTCTTTTCTGTTTGTACTACTGTATAATCACTGACTTACAGTCTTCACACAAATATCCTTATTGTTCTTTTGGGAAAAAATAAAACCTAAGTGATCTTCAGCCATCTTATTTTTGTTTCTGCTCTTTTTCCTTATTTTGTTTCTGTTCTGATTTGACCACGTGTTTGGGTATTATGAAAACACTGCCATCGCTACTGCAATGAATGATATATTGGCACAGGTTAATAGGTCTACCCTGGTCATCCCTCAATCTACTGAAAATGTCACAGTACAAGTTGTTTAACTTTTGCTTCATCTGGCTGATTGATCTACTACACTGACAGTGCTCCTTTTTAAGGCTGTCCTTTTGTGTTTGAAGATTACATACGTCGTCTTCCAAATTTAAGAATTTTATTCAGTTTACGACAAATTTGGGCAGCAACTTGGTTTTTTCCTCTTCGTCTGATGTCATATAGGATTGATACCTGAGTGTCTGTCAGATGGTTCTTTGCTAGCACAGTGTTGAAAGAGTTGATGGGCATTCTCACAATTTCATTTACCAAAAATGTAATTCTCAGAGCTTTTGCAAAGTATTCATCACTGCTAAGGTTTGTATCAGTGGAATTATGGCACCTATCCTTTACTTTGTTTGGTTTCTTCATCCACATCTGCTGTGGATGCTCTGGAGTGGATGCTCTGGAGTGGATGCTGCTTGACTTGGCAGCTGGTTATAAGTGTGGTTATGAAGAAACTGCTGAAGTGTGGCTTCTCTAGAACACTGAATCGCCTGGATATTCCACATGGCTGTATTTACTGTCTTCTTGGCCATGGCCACAAACAGCTCCTAAGCCTTGTGAGGAATCAGATTTAACATCACTGCTGTACCCAACAGCACCTTCACTACAGACTAAGAGGTGGTGCTGTGACTTGAATTCAAAGATGGTCCTGAATCTGAGCCAGGTTCTCCAAAGAGCTGAGAAACTTCTACACAATGAAAGCCTTCCTCCAAAGCCAAAGACATGAGTTTAACTTCATCAAAATTATCATCATGGGCCATTAGGTCTCTAATGTCAGCAGCTGAAAATAGCCCTGTTGGATTTGACCCATGAAGTAGCGATTCTGGATTTCTGATATTAGAGCTTGACTGAGGAGAAGACTCTTGCCTTTGTAAGTGTCTTGTTTCTCAATTTGATTGAGTGAGATAGTCTGTTCTTAGTAGCAGGTCATGAGGATTGAAACAGTGGCAAAGTGTCTGGGCCAACCTTATATTGTGTGACAATGATGGGTCTCAGCCTCTACTAGAAGTAACAACTTGTGTATCTTCCCGTAAACTCACCTAAAAGATGATGGGGGAAAAGTGGGATCTTTTATAAAATTCATGCCTCTACGTTCCTCACCTACACAATCTTGATCAATTTATTTTTTAATATTCCACTATTTGAATCTATTAAAGCCAACATTTTGTATATTGAACTCTATTTCTAGCTATCCTGAGTACTGTTTCCCATTTGTACACAGCATAACCTGCACTGGCACATGGCAAGAGGGAAGTGTGCAGAAGAAAAGCAACTGAAGGGACAGAAGGACAAGGACTTGTGAAGGACAGTGTGGGACTGATGAGTGCTAAGAGGTGGAAATGAGACTTTGCTAGGTGTACATCAAACTACGGCCTACGTGTTCATGTGATCTGATCTAAGGAAAGGTCCTTCTAGGAGGGGCAGTCCTGCCCCTCCCCTGGTAGTGGTTTCAGTGATCATCTGATTCCAGGATGAGGTAAACTGTTAGAAAATTAATCTTGTAAAGAAGATAAATAGCTCACTGGCAGGACTTAACCAGTGAGAGCAGTACTGTAAGAAAAGAGGGGAGAAGGACAGGAACATTAAGGTCCTGCTGGCACATTCTCTCTGCTCTTCTTTCACAGTTTATAAAGCTTTTGGAGCTGTAAGCTGCCACATTTGGCTTAGCTCCTTCTTAACTGAGGTCTATCATGTTCAGATTTCATCTCAACTCCTTTACTAATCAGTTTGGAGGAAACATTCCCCCCTGCCCCCAGATCACACCTTCTATGGATGTCTTGACTTTAAGTTAATACTCAGTTTTTCTTTACAAAAATAAAGCTGCTGTATAATCCCTCAGCTCTGAAGTCCAGATGATAAATGAGTGCTGCAGTAGCATTAAGGCCCACCTTTTGTGGGCCTGGATTACAGTTGCTGGGTTGTAGAAGTACAAAGTCACTGCGCAAGGTTATGTCAAGGCACTTGCTGACAAGTAGAGTAGTCATAAAATACATGGATTCAAAAAACTTGAGGATGTAAATACATCAAGTAGGAAGCGTACAATACAATTCTTCCATAGCTGAGCATTCCTACTGTGGTGCAGGACTGCAGTTCATTGAAATAACAATGTGAAAAGCACTTTCTACAGGGAAGGAATGTTGTACCATAAAGACCAGAACATCTTAAGTTCTCTACTATGCTTACTGGGAGCTCAGGTAACAGAAGAACACCTTCCTTTATTTCTCCTAGGGAGTTACCTTGTACCAGACCATCTGTAGCCTGCGAGAGTAAGCTGGTATTTTCAAATAAGCCCTTGAATAGAAATATTCTTAGCAAGTTAAATATTGAAAAATCCCCCACACTGTAAAGACTTTGTACCTGGAAAAAACAGGCAATCAATTTTCAACAGATAGATTGTCACAAGATGGCAGTGCATTAATAGTCTTAAATAAAATATGCAAGAGTGTATAGTTAAAGCTGCCTAAAGGCTACAGCCAAATTCCTTTCAAATTACGAAAATAACAGAGAAAACTAAACCAATGAACTTCTGAACCTTGTTAGCGTGGAATCCACTACCAAAGCTGAACAGAGGAGGCTAATTCATGGGCTGGGAGGCGCTATCCAACCTAGAGATTCCCAAAACTATGTGTTCCAGAGATAAACATGAAGTTATACAGAAAACACTAATGACCCTGTAAGGCTCCTATGATGGGAAGTGTATGTCAGATGCTCTTGGAGTATTGCAAAAAAAGCAATGTAGAGAGTAGTTTTCATGGTAAATGATTGCATCTATAAGCTGGGGGAGAGGAGGCAGACTCCAATTAAGATAACAACTGGGTTTTTTTGTGAAGATGGGCACACAGAAAGTAAGCAATAATATCAGAAGCCCAGAAGATAAAAAAGAAAACTAAATGGTTTTGCTGCTAATGCTGACTGACCTGATTTGCAGCGAAGATGGGTCTGATCTTCTTGAGGGTAGTATCTTTGTAAGTGCTTGACCCAAAATTTATGGCAAGTTTAATCTTTGGCTGCAAATGCTTAATAGCTGCTAGTGCTTAGTAACTCAGCGTTGCTCTAGAGAAGCACACCAAGAGCTGCTGTATAAATACAAATTGGCATTAGGTTTCAGAAATGACATTATCAGTTGAACTAATTAAGCTGTCCAATGGCTCCATCCAACTTTGAACACCAGGTGACAGAGAAGACAGGACTTTGCAGTTTTCAAATGACTGGGGAAAATTTTTCGAGTCAGTGACGGCTGCTGTAAAAGGTGGATACTAGCATCTTTAATGTCCTCAGGTAAGTTTTACTGCATTGATTTGCTAATATATTCACTGTGGGTTTTTTTAATTAAGTCATTATCCAATAATTACTCACTGAATCCCAATCTATTAGCAATACAGTGTTTTCCCATTTACCTCTAGCATGTTTTCCATCTGCGATGACAGAAGCTGTAAATAGCCCTCTAAGGAGAGACTGGAATCTACATGGTTGCAGTTACTCTGCGACAAAAGAAACACTTTGTAAAGCACCATTATTTTACATAAAAGGAGGTAAAAATCAAGTCCGAGAGGAAACAGAGCACAGCTCTGTGAAGCACTGCTGCTGACCCTGCCATCAAGTCTTCCTCCTAATGGGAGACATCACACTGCTAGGATGAGCAGAATAACTCCATGGCAAGAGCACCCTACTCTGCCCCACAACAGCAGAACTGGGCTCTCCTCTGAGGCTGCACCTACCCACCATTGTGGAAAAAATCAAATATTTTTTCAAAGCCTAGCTGCCAGGGCAGTGGTGAACAGAGGGGCTAGCAAGAAAACTGGATTTTGATGGTCTCGGCTCTCATAAGGTCTTCAGAAGAATGAATGTTCTTTTCATTGTAGCTCTTGGCAAGAAAAAAAAACCCAAAGTGCACGTATTTCAGTTTAACATCATTAAGATTATTTCTCTGCCGTCTAGTTACAATACACATGTTAAGATCTGAACAATCCAGTTTCCCAAATGTAATTCTACATCTGAGCATGAAGCTTTACATAACTGGTGAAGGCTGTATCATCTAGCATCCATGTCTCAAGTGTCTGTAGGCCAAAAAAGTCTTTGCCCACAAACACAGCACCTTCGCGATGGAGAAAATAAAACCTAATTGAAAAATGGTTTGTTGCAAGTGATTTCTGTAAACTTTAGAACATTTCAACTATATAAGCTATACTGGGAAGGGGCGGGGTTTTTTTTTGGGGGGGGGGGTGCAATTTTCAAGAAGGTGAACAAGGTCATCATTCACAAAGTAGAATCTGAAGCCACTGTTCCTTTCCTGCCCTTGCAAAGGATGCTCGAAATGAAAAGAGGAAATCAAATATTCCTTTCAAAACCATTCATTCAATTTCTTTCACTACTCTTTATCTCAGTGATAAGACCTATATCCTCCCTCCCTTCCTCTTCACAGTTTTCCCTTCTTCCATTATTTTCATTATTTACTTGATTTATGTCTTCCTCCTCCTGCAGTTCCAGCTGATCACCTCTTTGGTGTGGACAGCAGTCATCCAAAGCTTCCTGACATGCCTCCAGGTCAACATCCTGAACACACAAATAAACCAGTTCTATTAAGCAACACGCTATCAAAATTCATCTCCAAAATTCACTTTTTTTTTCTACAGCTACAGCATTTCAAATAAAATATACACTGAACAGTTCATTCATGTGGATGAACTGACTGTGTAGACTTTGGGGGCAGAACAAGACCGATGTCAGTTCCAGAGCGTGGACACTGCCTCCTCTTTCCATGCCCAGGCACTAAACCCATCTGGGGTAGAAACAGAAACTCATAAACACTGGGAACAAATTCTTCTAAAACGGACACATGATGACGTGATTTCATGGACAGTTTGGGCTATCAGTGTCTTCTGGACGTCATTTCACAACAACATATCCAAGCCAGATATACGCTTAGTGATGGAATCTTAAAATAGGCAATTATACATGGCAAGTTAAAAAAATCCCTCGCTTTTTCTTTCAGGAAAACAATCACATTAACATGTATTGTAATAGCTCTGTTTCCCCATCACTTCCATGTGGCCATTACCCAGTTCCCATTTACCCAAATGATGGGTTTTTTTTAATCTCCAGCAATGAAATTCTTCCAATTTAGTGGTCTCAGAAGCAATTTTCAAGTTATCTTTTATCTATAGTTCTATCAGTGGACTTTTTTAATTTTCATTATAGGGCTGGGGTATTGCTAGGGTAAGAAGGAATCACTGGTAAGGACTTTGCATATTTATATTTAAAAAAACATTGATGTTTCAGCTGTTATAGATCAAGTTTGTGTTATTAAAATGTGAAACTTGGTGGAATGGGAGCCAGAAAACCAAGTGGCCACACTGCATTAGTTCCATATATCCCCAGCAAAATGTTACAGCAGGAGCAGAAAAGACAAGCTCTCAACAGCAGCAAACGTAAAGAGTTAGTGTTCTGCTCTAAAAATCACAGCAAACTTACTTTACAGGTTTTATATGAAAGCATAAATTATATAAAAACTGCAATTTTAACAGTAATGAAAATGTGTAGAAGATCTTTTTTAAATTATTGCTTCATACAAAACAGTAAAAATTAAATGTAAGGTTTAAAAATAGGACTCAAGTAAAATTATATTTAATTTGAAAATAAAGTAATATTAATTTCTTTTTTGTTAATTCTGTGAAAAATCATTTTTAAAAATAATAAAAATGAATTTTATTTTTAACTGATTTTATTTGTCGGCTTTCCATTTTTCTGTACTTTCTTTGCC